CCCTCTTTTTTGTTTTTATTCATGGAGGAACTAGATGAGTACACTTTAAAAACTTGTCTTTGTTTATAGATGGCTAATCGTGTATATAGAAAACAATATACAGGGAACCAGCAGTTAGCGTAATGGCTATGTCGCTGGACTCCCACGTAGTCAACTGCAGTTCGCATCCCGGACCCGGTGGCTTAAAACTCACGCCGGGCGCATGTGCGTGCATGCCCAAGATCCCAAGAGGAGAATGGAGGAGAAGGGATTGTGGCGTGACCATCCCCCCTGGGGGGTGATTTCTCGCTTTCTTTCTCTATGTCTCTCTCTGTCTGTCTGGTGAGCGCACGCACCCTATAGTGAAAAAACCTCTCCAAAAAAAAAAAAAAAAGCAATATACATAAAACTCCTGGAATTAATAAACAGCTTGAGCAAGGCTGCAAGATACAAACTCAGTCACATTCTTATACATCACCAATGAACAAGAGGAATTTAAAAAAAACATTAGCATTTACAATAGCATTCCCCCAAAAGAGAAATACTTAGGTACCCATTTAACAAAATGCAACTAAGATCTTTATGAAAAAAATGACAAAACTCTGATGAAAGAAGTTGAAGAAGAACTAAATAAAGGGAAAGGATAGAAAACTTCATTTGTCAAGAAGTTAGTTCTTCTCAATTTGATCTACAGAGTCAATGGACTCTCAGTCAAAATTCCAGCAAGTTATTTTATGGATAATATTTTGTAGAAACTGATTCTGCAGTTTATATAGAAAGGCAAAAATACCGGAATAGCTCATCTAATATTGAAGAATCAAATCAAAGGAATTTCAGTTTCACCCAACTTTAAGCCTTAAGCCTGATAAATGACTATATTCCAGAAATGTACAAAGAATACTTAAAACTCAACGATAAGGCAATGAACAGTTCAGTTAAAAATGGGCCAAAGACTGGAAGAACTCCTTCGCCACAGGAGATAGACAGATGACAGCTAAGCATATGAAAATGTATTTAGCACCATATATCATTAGGAAACTGCAAATTAAAACAACAATGTGATCTCATCACATACTTATTAGAATGGCTAAAATGAAAAGCTGACAATGCCCAATGCTGGCAGTGATGTGGCGCAGTAAGGACCTTCATTTGTTGCTGGTGGAAATGAAAAATAATGAGACCAGCAGTTAGCATAATGGCTATGTCGCTGAACTCCCATGTAGCCGACAGCGGTTTGAGTCCTGGACCTGGTGGCTTAAACTCACACCGGGCACGCATGCGTGCGTGCCCAAGATCCCGAGAGGAGAACGGAGAAGAAGGGATTGCGGGGTAGTCATCCCCCCGGGGGGTGATTTCTCACTTTCTAACTCTCCATCTCTCTCTGTCTTTCTGGCGAGCACATGTGCCCTATAGCAAAACCTCTCCAAAAAAAGAAAAAAGAAAAAAAGAAAACCACTTCAGAAGACAATTTGGCAGTTTTTTATAAAACAAACCATAGTTTTACCATATGACCCAGTCATGCTCCTTGGCATTCACCCAAATGAACTGGAAACTTACATCTACACAAAAACTGCAGTTTTCTTCATCATTGCCCACACTTGAAAGCAGCTAACATGTTCTTCAGTAGGTGAGTGGATAGATAAGTAGGGCACATTACATGATGGAATATTACTCAGCACTAATACAGAGAAATGAGTTCCTGTGCCAAGAAAGGATAAGTGAAAGAAGCTAATCAGGGAAGAGGCTGAATGACTTCAACGATATGACATGAAGGAGAAGATAAAAACCATGGAGATGTAAAACAATCAGTGGTTGCCAGAAGTGAGGGGGAAGAGAGAGATGAAGAGGCAGAGCATAGCGGAGTTTTTAAGGCAGTGAAACTATTTGTTGTACTACTACAGTGATGGGACACATTATACATTTGTCAAAACCATAGATTATACAAAGCAGAAGTTAAACCTGAGTCAGGCAGCGGAATACTGGTAACGAACTGGATCCACATGAGGCAAAGTCCTGGGTTCACATCCCGAGACCTCCTGAACACACTGGGCATGTATGCGTGTATCTTGTGATCCGGGCCCACTGACACTGGAGGTGGACCATGGTGTGGCCACCCACATAGCAGTGTCTTTCTGTCTCTATCACTCAAATCTGTGGAAAAAATCAATAAACTCGACAACAACCAAAAAATCCTGGGTTGACCTCATGGGTTAATGGTTAAGGGAGCCAGATCCCACATGGTTGACCACAGTTTGAATCCTGGTGTTAATAGGTTGAAAAATAGGCCCTACATGTGTCCAGAATCCAAACAGGATGGGGAAATTGAGGAGAGGATTGTGGCGTTGACACAGGTGATCGGACTCAACACCTGTGCTGGTTCTTGTCCTACTTTCATAAAGAACTAGAGACATGAACAGAGAGGATAGTAAGCAAAGTTTATTAGGGAAGGAGAAAAAGCTTCCAATGTAGTAAAAGAGGGCCTGGATGGGTTGCTGAAGAGGACCTGGAGGTGAGGTGTTTTATCTAGCAGCCTGAGCAATGGGCCAACAGGGACAAGAAAGTGGGCATAATGGGCTGGTCTCTGACAAAGTGAGCTTTAGAAAATAGTTACATGGTAGTCTGAGTGATTTATTACCCTATTCTCCATGGGGTCAGCAGACCATAGCATTCTGGTGTTAGAATACAGTTACTAAATAGAAACTGTTGCCCTTGGCTACAGTTGCTTCCAGTACCAAGCAGTACCAAGGCCGTCAGCTTTTGGCTGTGAAAACATGGCTACTCTGTGTCTCCATCTTGGGTGCTCAATATCCCTGTCTCCTGCCTTATGAGCAAGGCCTTATAAGTTCTTCAGAGACATGCAAAAGGGGGTTACATTGTACATTAACCAGACCATAGAGGAAGAACACAGAGTCTTCATTGAAAAGAAAAACACAATAACTTCCATTCAGGGCCTTACCCTATCTACCTGCAAGTGGGTCTAACCTTTGGGAAGGTGCTTTTTCCCACCCTCTGGAAATTAAAAAAAAAAAAAAAAATCCTAATGTAAACTATGGACTTTGGACTTCGGGTGATAACAATGTTTCCCCATCGGTTCACTGCTTGTAAGAAATGTACCACGTCAGTGCATTATATTAATAGTTGGATGGGTTGTGGGTATTGGGGGTATTGGGGCAGTGGGTATGGAAATTCTTCATAGTTTCTTATTTACACTGAACCCAACATTGCTCTTAAAAAATGAAGCTTATCAATTAAAATACCTAAAGGCTCAGTGTGGTAGCATATGCTGTATATTGCTGCTTGGCAGGCTGAGGACACATGGGAGTATGAGGTTCAGTTCTCGTTGCATCCTACAGGGTTGTGTGCAATAGCACATGCCAGTCATCCCACTAGCTCAGGAGGCTGAGACTGGAGAATTAGGAGCTCACAACCAGTGTGGACACATGGAAAGAGTTGGTCATGGTAGCATGCAACTCTGGTCCCAGTTACTCTGGAGGCTGAGGCAGGAGGACTGCAACACAGTATCATACTTTGTCTAAAAAAAAGAAAAAGAAGAAAGAAAGAAACTACACACAAAATAAGTAAGTAAATACATACATACATAAATAAATAAATAAAATGAGGCTGGAAAGGTAGCAGATATGTAGAAGATAGCTACATTTAGTCAGCAAGTGTGAAATGAAATCTAAGATGGTGGTGAAACTCATAGGCTCTAAGAATGTACAAAAACAAATTAGGTTGCAGAATTTTGAAGGAAGATGATTGGTGTCTTTTTCTTTTCTTTTCCTTTTTTTTCCCCCTACAGATAAACAAATTAAATTAAATTAAATCTGGGCCAGGTAGTGAAATACTCTTTACTGGAGGAGAGGAGGGAGTGAGAACTCACCCCACCCCCCACCCCCCTGGGGGAATGGCCACATCACAACCCCTTCTCCTCCAGTCTGTTCTCAGGATTTTGGACACATAAGCATATGTGCCTAGTGTCTTTATCAAGTCACAGGTCTGGGACTCAAACTGCAAAGCTGACTATGTGGGATCCAGCTGCCTTAACCGCCGCATATCCGGCTGGTCCAGATCTGTGTCTTTTATGTTCTCCACATAAAGGAAGTGGTTTAGTTTCTAGGAGAAGGACCTAGTAATAGTAACTGAAATTAGAAGTTATGGGGCCACAGATTAAATCTCCTTTCTCTCATGAGACAAAAGGGTATGAGGGTGACTGCACTCCAAAGAACAAAAAAAATGTAAGAGGAGTTTTCAAATATTTCACAGAAAATGTGTATTACAAAAAAACAAAAACAAAACCAAAAAAAACCAAAAACGCATGGATTTAAGAATTGCTTTGCAGCAAAATAAACTTGTACTTTAATTTCACTTTTCCATAAACTTCTTGAAGTTTCCTCATATTCTGCTTACTAAGCCCTTGCTAGATGTACACTTTGCAAATAACTTGTTATATTCTGTAGGTTGTCTTTTTACTCTGCTGATTGTTTCTTTTCCTGTACAGATGGCTTTTAGTTTAATATAAACCCAAGTATCTATTTTTCCTTTTGTTGCTCATGTGCTTTTTCTTTTTTCTTTTTTATTGCCAGAGGGCATGCATGCTTGCTGTGTTGTCTGTGTTTTTGAGGTTTTATTAAAAAACTCTTAACCCAGACCAATGCCATGAAGTGTTCTGCCTATGTTTTCTTCTAGTGGTTTCATAGCTTCAGGTTTCACAGTTAAGTCTTTAATCCATTGTGAATTGATTTGTGTGTCTGGTGAGAGATAGGGTTGTTTTGTATTTTTTAAATAAAGAATTATTTATTTAATTTTAGTTCCTCTTCTTCTTATTGTTATTATTATTTAATTTGCTACAGGGCACACACGCTCACCAGAGAGAGACAGAAATAGAGATAGGGAAAGTGAGAAAGCAAGCTGCTAGGTTTGGGACTAGAACCACAGTCAGCCATGAGAGAACACCTTAACTACCATACCACCTGCTGGCCCCAGGGTGTTGTGGTTTTTGACATAAGCTTACCCACAGACTTCAGTCTTCTGACTTCATCAGGAAATACTACATACATTACTTATTGTGATGAAGGCTGATGAAGATGAACAAGAAATGAATGTACCAAAATCCATTTTAGCAGCTGTAGAGTTAGGCTGGGTCCCAGGGCTTCTAAGGCCCAAAGGTTCATACAGCAGGCATCAGAGAGAACTGAAACAATAGCTCATTGTTAATCAAGATACAACCGTTCTCCAATGCTCCAGTTATCTTATTGTTACCTTAGAATGATTGATTCCATTAAGCTCTGATGCTTTTTGTGTATGTAATTTATTTTTGAGAGATTTTTGCTATGGGGTGCATGCACTCACTGGAGAGACAGAGAAAGAGAAACAGAAAGTGAAAAATCACCCCTTCCGGTGGGGGAGGGGGATGGCCATACTGCAATCCTTTCTCCTCCATCCTCCTCTTTTTTTTTTTTTGGAGAGGTTTTTGCTATAGGGGGCTTGCGCTAGCCAGACAGGCAGAGAGACAGAAAGCGAGAAATCATCCCCCAGGGGGGATGGCCATGCCGCAATCCCTTCTCCTCCATTCTCCTCTCGGGATCTTGGGCACACACGCACACGCAGCCGGCGTGGGTTTTAAGCCACCAGGTCCAGGACGTGAACTGCGGTCGACTACATGGGAGTCCAGCGACATAGCCATTACACTAACTGCTGGCCCCCTCCTCCATCCTCCTCTTGGGATTTTGAACACACGTGCAATCACACCCAGTGTGAGTTTCAAGTTGCCAAGTCCAGAACTCAAACTGCAGTCAAACATGTGGGAGATCAGTGCCTTAACCTCTACACCGTCTGTTGATCCCTGTGTATATAATTTAATTTAGATCCAACTAATGGCATTTTGTCACTTCCCCTATAAAGGGCTCCTAGGGGTGGAGTTTGGTACCAAAGCACCTCACTAATATCTACCACCATTTATTATTATTATTGTTGTTATTTTTATTATTATTACTGCCAGAGTGTACCTGGGCTTGCCAGCAAAAGACAAGGAGACAGAGATAAGGAGAGGGGGAAAGCAGCAGCCTCTCAGTGGAATATGGTTAACTGGAATCGCTTCTCCATTTTCCATACCTTTGGGTCACACATGGGTCCAGCATGGTTTTCAAGTCACCAGAGCCAGGATTCCAACTATAGTTGGCTGTGTGGGATCTTGCTCCCCTTTCTGCTAGATTATGGGGCAGGCCCCATCCACAATCATTTTGGACTTGGGCGTAAATTCCTGGTTCCTTCAGTTATGACCACGGCGATAGTATTACATGTTCTAAGCCTTTGCAACTTCATAAACAGACTCACCTCTAGCACCATTTCTCCCCCAAAAAGCTTTGAGTCTGGTTGAAGCTCAGAGGTTTGCAGTTCCTGCATACTGTGGATTTCCAGTTTCACATTGATCTCAGTACTCAGCCTGACATCTATAAGACAAAAGACTAAATTAGGTGCCCAATCATACGGTCTCTATGGTTTCCATGATTACAACAATGCTCTGGTATGCTACTATTTGTATCTCTTCTCTGTGCTCCAAGCTTCCCATGTCCACACTAAACTCATTAGCATCTTTCCCGAGACTGGTTTTTCCTCCTGTGTAACGTATTGATGAATGAGCCACTATCCTTCCAGCAGAGAAAGGAGAGAGTTTCAATTATCTTAATATTTGTTTAGCATTCCCTCCATCTTCCCGATGTCCATTGGTTGAACCTCTTTCTTTCTCTTCCCACTATCTTCTCTTTAGTTCATGCACTGTAATTTCTACCCTGTGATGACAATAGTCTCTTACATGTTTTAGTCTCAACTCTTTCCAGAGCTTTTTTTTTTTTTCTTTAAAGAGTACAATTATCCTAGGAGTCTTCTCATGAAAAATTGTAATGCATTCTCAGAATTTTGGCTATTGAGGCTAGAACATAAAGGTTTTCGAGGTCTGTCCCAAGCTGCTTCTGTGAGTGTGTCTCCTGCCACATCTCCTCCTGTACCTCTTGTTGCAGCCCCATGTGCCATCTTTGCATTTATCGTAAAAACATGGCACCAGCAGTTAGCATAATGGTTATGTCGCTGGACTCCCATGTAGTCAACCGCAGTTCGAGTCCCGGACCTGATGGCTTAAACTCACGCCAGGCCCATGTGCGTGCATGCCCAAGATCCCGAGAGGAGAAAGGAGGAAAAGGGATTGCGGTGTGGCATCCCCCGAGGGGTGATTTCTCACTTTCTGTCTCTCTGTCTCTCTGTCTTTCTGGTGAGCGCACGTGCCCTATAGCAAAAACCTCTCAAAACAAAACAAAAACCATCATGCCAAGGCCTTCATGAATGCTGTGTTTCCTTACTGGAAAGTCTGCCCTTGGGCTCTACTCTGCCTTGCTAGCTTCCCACATGTGCAAATTTTAAGGAGGTGCCAAAAAACTTCAGTACTCAAGATTAAAGATAAATTAGTGCAATATTTTAATCCTAATTAAAGCATACATGATGAACACGATGTTATAATTTTAAATAAAGAATGGATCTGATCCTACATTTTCAGCACCCTGCTCTACTTACTTTACCCTAATGGGTGACCTTTGTTTCAATAAAATTTTACTGGAACCCACAGGTGGCTTGGTGGTAAAAGTGCTGGACTCCCATATGGCCGACCATGGTTTGAATGGAAACTATTGGCTTGAAAATCACACCAGGTGTGTTTGCATGTGTGCCTGAAACGAGGATGAAGGAGAAGGAATTGTGATGTGGCCATCCCCCTGGTGGGTGATTTCTCACTTTCCCTCCTTCTGCCTCACTCTAGCAAATGCATGTGCACTACGGCCAAAACCTTAAAAAAATTAAAACCTTTACAAAAACAGGTGGTCACATATATATAGTTTGCTATGTAACTTTTTTAAATTTATTTTTTTATTTTTTAGAGAGAGATTTTTGCTATAGGGCATGCACACTTCCCAGAGACAAGAGAGACCGAAAGCAAGAAATCACCCCCCTCCTTCCCTAGGGAAGATGGCCACATCACAATCCATTCTCTTCCAATCTCCTCTCGGGATTTTGGGTACGCATGCACATATGCCTAGTATGAGTTTTAAGCTGCTGGGTCTGGGACTCAAACCACGGTCAACTATGTGGGAGTCTAGCAAAGTCACCAGTATACCATCTGCTGGTCCTAGCTGTGTAACATTTTTATGTTACTGCATTAAAATATAATTTATAGTGATTATTGAGTATCTTAGTTTGTTATTGCTAACATAAATGCCTGAAGGGGTGCATGTGCTCACTGGAGAGAGACAGAGAGTGGGAATGTGAGAAAGCACCCCACCACATGGGAGAGGCATGCCACAACCCCTTCTCCTCCATTTCTCTGTCCTTTCAGGATTTGGAGCATGCACACACACATGCCCACTGTGTTCCTCAAGCTGCTGAGTCTAGAACTAGAACCACACAGTTGACCCTGTGGGATCCAGCCTCCTTACCCACCTCGCTACCGACTGGCCCAAGGTTTATTCAAAGAACTCACAATTCTGGTGGCCGGAAGTCCAAAAGCATTATAAAATAGTAGAAGGCAGAACTTTTGGCCGTGGTCTGTACGCCCAAACTTCTCTCTTTTGTTCCCTTTATTCCCTCTGCTTATAAACCCAGCAGAACTCAGTCACAGGGGCTTCACTGAAAGGACCTTATCATATCCAAAGGCCCTACCCTGGGACATCAGGAAGGGATTAAATTTTCACTCAACACCTTTACAGTACAACTAAGTCCCAACATGAAATTACAGTACTGAGTGCTTTGGTATCTTTACATTTTTTTTTGCCTGAGGCAAGCGATTCACTCACTCCCACTTTCTCTTCAAGTTCAGCTCAGGCATCGCTTCATGTAGGAAGCCTGGGCCCTTCTAGTTTCCTGCGTGTGCCCACCCTTTGTGTCCCTGTAGCTTTCTTCTGTTTGAGCACTTTCCACACCACATTCAATTGTTGGCTTACTTGTGTCTCCCTCCCAACTAAATGATATGCTCTCTAAAGCACATAGCTGTGATGGGCTGTCTCCCCAATGTAACAGTAACGACAGCTACATTTTTTCAGGCACCTAATATGTCTCATACACTGCACTTAACACTTCAAACCTTATTTCTAATCCTCATAACTTGTGGGGTAAGATTTTTACCTTCATCCTATAACTTCGAAGATAGAAATACACATGATTAATAAATACTTGGCTACTACTTAATTGATGAAGGCTACTTTCAAGGTGAAGTCTATCTGCCTCTAGATTTCGTGTATTTTCCATTCAACAATTTTTCTTAAATGTGACTATTCAGAGGGACAGATGAATTACAGTTAGCTCAAAGATCCTACAGATTATAAAGACATGAAAGCATATCTGAAGGTCTGTGTCCTTAAAATTTCATCCTAGAAGGACCAGCAGATGGCGTAATGGCTATGTGGCTGGACTCTCACATAGTTGACTGCAGTTCAAGTCCTGGATCCGGTGGGTTAAACTCACGCCGGGCATGTGTGCGTGAGTGCCCAAGATCCTGAGAGGAGAATGGAGGAGAAGGGATTGTGGCATGGCCATCCCCCTGGGAGGGTGATTTCTTGCTTTCTGTCTCTCTATCTGTCTCTGTCTGTCTGGTGAGCACATGCGCCCTATAACAAAAACCTCTCAAAAAAAAATTAATCCTAGAAAATGTTGTGCCATGATAGAGATGATTGCCAAAGAGTAAGATGGAGCCAGTCAGAGGCCTAGTGATAAAAGGAACTGGATCTCATGTGCTGACCATGCAGTTCTTGAGTCTTGGACCCAGTGACTTGCAAATATGCCAGGCACATGTGCATGCATGCTCAAAATTCTAACAAGATGGAGAAGTGAAGGAGAAGAGATTATACTATGACCACATCCCATTGTGACCCATCTCTTTCGGTCTCCTTCTGGCAAGCACATATAGCCTCTAATAATTTAAAAAAAAAATGGAAAGAAAGAAAAAAGAAGGGTAAGATGGTGTTTCTGTTAAGAAGGGGCAGTACTTCTTTCTCTGACCTGGCAAGTCCTTACAGAAGGACACGTGATGGGCGCCACTTGCAAGGTGCATGGAAGTAGAAGCTGCACTGTGTGAGTAATGCGAGCTTGCCTAGGGATCAGCATTCTTAGCTGCTTTTCGGTGGCCTCTGAGTTTGGTTCTTTGATTGGCCTTATTGATTTTGGAAAGCTTTTTATAAATTATAGAAATATTATTATCAACGATTTTCCATTTCTAGTTCCTAGAATTTTTTTGATAATAATATTTCTATAATTTAAAAAAAGTTTTCCAAAAACAATAAGGCCAACAAAAGAACCAAACTCAGAGGCCACCTAAAAGCAGCTAAGAGTGCTGATCCTAGGAACTAGAAATGGAATTTTTTTATTTTAAGTTGACCAGAGAGAAACAGAGAGAGAGAGAGAGAGGGAAAGTGAGAAAGCAAGCTGCCAGGTCCAGGACTTGAACTGCAGTCAGCCATATGGGAGTCCAGCCACCTAACCCACTGTGCCATCTGCCGGCCCAAGAAATGAATTTTTGATAGTAATATGCATGATTAAGTCACTATGCAGTATATTCTGGATGGGAAATCAAATTTTGTATGCTGTGATGATGCTTAGGGGAAGAATGTAAATTAAGTTACAAAAAAAAAAGTTTCAGAAAAAAAATCTATTTGATGACCGCAGTAAGATATATAGCCCCAGCTAGGTGCTACTTTATAGGATGCCTAAAGTTAGACTTGTGTTCATGGAAATGTATATATCAGCTGTGTTTGCTATGAAAATATTTAAATCCTTAGTAATTCAATAAAATGCAAAAAAAAAAGAAAGTAAACATAGATACCAGAGATAGTGTGGGAAGAGAGTGGGAGATGGCAAAGGGTAAGAGATAGGGAATCAAGGATGGGGGGAAAAAAGCAAAACATACAGGAAACGAATGTAAAATTATTTGTTGACAATAACATGTATGTCGATGTGCTTGATTGAGACAATATACAGTGTGCTCTGGATGGAAAAATCTCATTTTGTATGCTATAATGATGTACAGTGAATGAACATAAATAAATAAATTTAAATTTAAAAAATTATAGTAATAAAACATGTCCCCTGGAAAACTTAGAAAATGCCAGATATTTTATCAAACTAACGACAGAGATTGGGTCCAGCACACTGAGGTATGCGCTGTGAACTTTGCTGCAAGTCCTTCTACTGTCTCTTTGTTTCTTAGAGTAGCTTCAGGGAGCTGGCTCTTTCTCGTCTGCTCTCCATGATCACTTGCTCCTGACGCTTTATTGTTCTTTGGCTTGAGACATCGGGTTGTGTGACAATCACCCCTCTGTCACAGGCCCACTGCTAGACTTTATTTCTGCTTGTTTCCATTAAATAAGGTGCAACAATTTTGATGCACAATTACACTTCACTCTTACTTGTGAGTATT